ACCCTGCCTGGTCACCTATTTACCCAAAGCGAATAAAGCTCCACCTCATCTATATGATTAGATAAATGGTGAAACTTTTATGATCTTGAGGGTGAAACTGGGTCAGAGCAGCAGCAGCAGACACCAAGACATAGATAAGAGCAGAAACAAATGCCTCTGAATGGACAGTCTGACTCATAATATGGGATATTTCCATTACGCAGCCCATTCTGGAAACATAGTAGCCACATTTATGCTTCTGGGTCGTCGTCCAAACACCTAAAATGCGCAACAAACATGGTCTTAGCGAATCCAAACAACCGTAAACAAGCCCGACAGAACCTAAACTACCAAAAAAAAGCCGCTATGCTTCTCTGTAAATGTTTGCTGAATGGGAGCAGGCAAAACGAGCACAATGATCAACCAGGAGTTTGGCAGTTTCCCAGCAAACACCAGCAGCACTGGACTAAAAACGACTTTGTAATCAGAGGGTTCAGAGAGCAAACAGAGGAGGAGGGCAGAAAACCGGAGAATGATAGAGTGAGCCTATGAATTACCCAGCAGACATGACTCTCTCCTTCTATCCTCCCTGCAGGAGATAATGGAAATCATCCATCTTTTTGCCCTCCTTTACGCCCCATCTTTTGGCCACTCATCTGCATCCAGGTCAGCTGAGAAATAACACAGGTTCTTTCTAATAACCATGATGTGTGAAATTTGGTAGGAGGAGAAGTCAGTCTAGCAGCACGTTTGGAAAAGGCCAGCAACCTGCCTCACAAACTACGAAGGTAGCAGGATCATAAAAAAGGCACTAAAAACACATTTTGTCAACCAGCTTTTTATTGTAGGTAATCTGTTTTTTTATTATTCCGTGTAGGAGTGTTTTGTCCTCTATATAGGAGAAGTTTAACAACTTATTGTCTTTTTTTTTATAGACAATTAGATGAGAAGGTTGATGCAACTCTGGTGTCTGTGTACAGTAAATATGGAGTCGGTTAGCTTAGCTTAGCATGAAAAGTGAAACTGGGTCAGAACAAAAGTGATCAAATCTGGCAACCAGCATCAGTGACACTCAACAGTTAACATGTTGTATTTCATTTGTTTAATCAAATAGTGCACTACCCGCCGCCACAGACGTGTCTTTGATCATTCTAAATTCATGCCTTAGTCGTCCTTAGCTTGTTGGATATTTGCTTTTAGAGTTTTAGAAACTCTGCAAGGTGGCGCAGTTGGTTAGCACTGTTGCCTCGCAGCAAGAAGGTCACCAGTTCGCGTCCTGGTGGGGGCACCAGGATCTTTCTGTGTGGAGTTTGCATGTTCTCCCCGTGCAGCATGGGTTCTCTCCGGGTTCTTCCTCCCACACAGTCCAAAAACATGTTGAGGTTAATTGGTGATTCTAAATTGTCTGTAGGTATGAATGTGAGTGTGAGTGTGCTTGGTTGTCTGTCTCTAAGTGTAGCCCTGTGATAGACTGGTGACCTGTCCAGGTGTCCCCTGCCTTCGCCCTAAGTCTGCTGGGATAGACTCCAGCCCCCCACGACCCTAGTGAGGATTAAGCGGTTTATAGATGATGGATGGATGGAGGTTTAGAAACTATATTATCTAAAATGGGGGCATCTTTACGAGGTCAAAAAGGAGTGGAATGTCCCACATCAGCGTGACAGCTTCTGTGAGGTCACAGAAAAGGAGAATACCCCAAAAATTAGACCATCGCTCATCCAAACAACTTCAAACTGGACACTGCACCACCCTGGGTTTCCTGCAAGCCAAGACTCACCAAGATTAGTAGTCGAGAACGGCGAAGGACAGACAGACACACAGGCAGAGATTTCTTCATTTACTTGTGAGATATAAAAAAAAAATCAATGTGTAATATCAAACTATTCCTTTCATGAATAATGCCTAAAGATGTTTTATCGTGTCAGCTTTTTAGTCATAAATATTTCATGTGATGGAGGAATGCTAAAGATTTAATGGAATTTTCAGACATTTTCTACACTTTCAATTTAAGTCAGTTTTCTACTTTTAAAGCTATTCAAGATTTAAGCAAAATAATGTGTTCAGATTATTTTGTCAGCTGGATGCAGAAGAGAGGCTGAGAGTCTACCCAGTCGAGTATTTCCACATGATTTCCCTACATGGAGCCACTGAATAACAAAACACCAGCGTGTCAAGTTGTATATTCCCAATTAAAATAACACAGAGGGAGTAATTTGGCCCACATGTACTTGTTATTAAAAAAACGACTGGGTGGGAACACTCAGCTCAGGACAGCAGCAGAGTCGAGTGCTCGGAATATTTTTGGACACACGGTTACACAAAAACTAAACAGGAGAATTTGAAAATGAACGCATCTCCAGAGGAAACACAATTTATAATAATCACAATAAGAGTGCACAGATTGTTTATTTCACACATCAGCAGGCCTAAGCTGCTGACGCTGGAACATTATCTATCCGAGCTGCTGGATAGTCTCAAACTCATGCTATTCCAATTTCTGCAGCTGATAAACTGCTTAAGAAAACATACATGACACATCTATTCAGCCTCATAAATAATACAATGTTCCTGCACAGACACACACACACACCTAGTGGCGCACTCATGCATACTAAAAACCAAGATGTGTCTCTCTGTAGGACACAGACACGTCTGACGTTAAATCCCTGAGAGGAGGATTCATTGGGAGGGCTGGAGAACCTGCAGGATTCTCAGGTTCTCATTTGCTTCTAATAAAATGAATCACCTCTTCTGTCCTGAGACAGGATGCGAGGGGAGGGCAACTAAAGAGCAGCATCACGAGGTGAAAAGTTCACGGCAGCGTACACGAGTAAGCAGTGAGGGAAAAAAAAAAAAAAGGCGTTGATCTCTCTCTCTCTACCCTACAGAAAATGACATTCCTTTCTTTGATCAGAGAGAAAATAGAGGAAAATATGGAGGTGGGGAAGCCTGGAGAGAGACAAGAGAAAGAGAGGCTGAGTGGGAAAGAGACATGTCAGTGGAAGAAAAGCTAGAAGAGATAGTGCTATCAGAGTCCAACATGGCAGGATGTGACATGTGGAGAGCAGGAAGAGGAAACTGGACAGATATAGATTAGTTTGGTAGCCGCTCCTGAAAACATGTCTATCCCATTAAGGGCCTCGGTGGCAGTTAATGTGCTTATCAAAGCGTGCGCCTTGGGTCTATACTCCTAACCCCTCGTGTGATGCTGCACACGGGCAGGAAGAAAAGACTCCACTTTAGGGTCAGCGGGTTTTCGGTTTCCTTTTATTTCATCTTCTCCAGAGTTTGTAAAAACATAAAATAAACTAGGGCCACCGCTTTAGCTCACCTGGTTGAGCTGGTGACCCATGTACAGGGACTCCAATGCAGCGGTCATGGGTTCGAATCCCGCTCATGGTCCTTTGCTGCAACCCCTTCCCCCTCCCCCACTTTCCTCTTTCTTTCAACTGTCCTATCTAATAAAAGGCAAACAGGCCAAAAAAAAACAACTTTTAAATAAATAAATAAATAAATAAAACTGTCCACCCTCGGGTCAAATCCCAAATCTAATCAGACCTAACGTGGGTCATTAATAAGTCGGACTTTAACACAGCTCGGATAATTTTCACCACGTGTCTGAGGTAAAGGAGTTCAACAAAGGGTCTCATTGAATTAACAAAAAAAACAGAAATGCTCTGAGGAATAAAGCACCTGTTTCATTATTTAGAGGCCACCGAAATTCTGTATTTGAGGATTTCTGCTCAACAGCAGTCCAAGACATGGCTTCGCTTCAATCCCACAAGCACCAAATATGAAGAAACAGAGGCAAAGCATTACTGAGACTGCTTAACTTGTGCAATGTGCAAATGATTTTTCCTTCAAACCAAATTGCCACATCAGTGAGTGTAATAAACATTATCAATAAAAACATTCTGGAGGCCTTTGTACTGGTATGTGTGAGGAAGTCTTTGGGTTTCTGTTGGCAGGTAAGTGTGACGGTCAGAGAGTCGCTCTTACTACGCTGTAAAGACATATACTGGTGGTGTTTATAGCCGTGTGCAGGAAGCCAGACGGTATATGCACTGTACAATGAGTTCAGCATAGACGGAAGCTTTAGATTTGGGCTTTATTGGACCATTAACTTGTACGATTACATTTTTTTTTTATGAACATGAAGCATCCTTTTGATTTCTTTATACCTCTAAGTTTAACAAGAAGAACAGATACAGGGTCACACAGAGGACACCCAGACCAGGACATCCAGAGGCAAAAGATGAGAAACAGACAAGCGAAGGAATCAGGAATATGAGCCGAATGCTTGACAAGACTTCACAAACATCCTACAGAGGGCTGCGAGTAATAATCTGGCAATTTATTTAGTAGTTTTTTGATTAATCGATTAGCTGCTTGATGTTTAAAATGAGAAAATATTCCAATTTAAGAGGATGGAATTGGAGAAAATTGGGTTTATTAAATGTGTAAACACTCAAAGTAATGAATCATTATTAAAATAGTGAGTATAGTCACTTTAAATTGTTTGCTATCAGGTGAAACTGTTTATTAAAGGTATCAGAGGTGGCCAAGATGACACTATCAGATATGCTTTTGTTGCCTTACTGTACAGGAAAGGTCTGAGATGTCAACTTTTCTGCTTCATAAACTCCCAAAAGTGCAGACCCTGTGGTTATGTGAAGAACTGAGTCACACCTCGGCGGTGTCATGGGTGTGTCGGCTCAGCTGTTCGGGGAGAAAGCCCTCTGATCCATCAGGAGACTGGATGTGTGGCACCTCAAACTTCAGGACAATAAGAGCGAAACAGACCAGTCTAGTTTAATTAAGTTAGTCTGCAGTGACTGAACTACGGCAGAAGTTTAGCTGTGGGACTCCTGGAGAGCAGCTCCGGTGATGCTGGCATATTTTCAAACATGAGCCAGAATAAAGGGCGGTGGTTCCGATCGCTCTCAAACACACACACACACACATGGACAGCGTGTTTAAAGCAGATGAACCACACGGTTAGTTTGTTGTTGTCAACTTACCTTCAGACAGCTCCAGCTCCAGCTCCGCCAGCTTCTCCCGGACCTCCGCCGGCAGGGTCATAGCGACGGCCGGCGTGGGCTCCAACATCATCGTTAGCAACCCGGTCGAGGTTCTCTCAGCCATGGTTGGTCCAGTACGAAGGTCGAAACGGGCTCCAACCGGGTTCTCCGGTGAGGAGGACAATGCACAAGGAAAAAGAAAAAAAAAAAAAAGCGGAGAAAAAAAACAAACTATGTAAAAACAACGAGCCCTCCTCAGCTGGTTCAGCGCGAGCAGGGTGTTGGTGCTTCTCCCGTGTCGCTGCAACGTCGTACAGATGTGTGAGAAATGTCTCCAAGCGTCATGACACGGCTAGCTGGGAGGCTAGCAGACACACCTGGCTCCGTGTTGCCATGAAGTGGGCTCGGGCAGGGCCGTGCCGGTGTCTCCTCCGTGCCTGCGCTCCGTCCCTCGGCTCTGGCGTCCTGACTGTCGGCGGCTGCCTTTCTTCAACTGTGGAGGGAACTCATTCAACTCCTCGCTCGCTTCCCACGGCGCAGTCGCCATTGCATCATAGCAACAGCAGCCCCGACCGTGCGCGTTCACGAGGCCTCCTCAAACACCCGTGTGTGTGTGTGTGTGTGTGTGTGTGTGCGTGCTCGTTGCGCCGCACGCTGCCTTGCTGATGCTCCACATACAACTTGCCTGCCTCCTACTGTTTCAATCAGTGTTTTGGTGGCACATGAGGACATGCGGGGATGTGGAAGATAAAGCTCAGTGCTGGAGCAAGTAGTGAAAAGAAATAATGTCACACTGAAAAAGTTATATTAAAAAAAAATCCTGCTTTAAAAATGTGCCTTAAGAGAAAGCATGTATGCATAATAACAAAAAAAAAATGCACTTTGCAGGACAAATGTCTCCTGTGAATGTTATACTGTCATATACTGTAGTGAGTGTTGGTAAAAATGGAATAAAAATGTAGTATTCTGAAACAATACAGAATCATTCCAGCTCCCAACTTGATTTAATTCTCTGAACAATGACTTACAGAAGGGAAAATAAATAATAATCAAACACAGAACTGATGAGTCAGACACAAGAAGTCCTAAAA